GGGGCGAGCGGAACCGGGCTTGGGCGCCGCGTACCGGGCCGCGCGGACCCCACGCCATGGACTCACCTCCGGATCCGTGGATCATCCTCTTTCGCGGGCCGGGCCGGTGATGGGCTTGGTTTCTAGCTCCTGTTTGCTGAGGAAGCACCAGCCAAAGCCTTTCCTGAAACCTTTCAGTAAATGCTTGAGAACTTTTCGGGCCACGGGGAGCCTTTGTGGTGCTTCCCCTACCTAGCGCTGCCTGGGTACTGGCCATAGCCCGGCTCCCCACAGGGCCTGCACTTCAGCACCCGGCCTCTGCGCTGGCGCCTGGAGGATGCTCTGGGGTCTTTGGCCCAGCTCGGGCCCAGCTCCCCTGCACAGGGTGCCCGCCAGGCCCTAGGGTGCAGGGCAGCTGGACGAGGGGCTCAGCCTCGGTGGGAGACGCTGCAGACCCCGGCCCCTGCGCCATCTGGCCACCAAGCGCTTGCGCGTTTGAAGTGGCTGGGGGCTCTTTGTTCACCAGGCCTCTCTGGCTCGGGGCCTGGAGGTGGTTTACAGCTTTGATGCCTTTGAACCTATTCCCAAGTGACCCGGGCTCAATTAGGCCAGGCCCTGAGCCGGGCTGTCAGGCAGCAGCACGATCAAGGGCAGAACCCGGGCCTGGAGCTCTTGGTTTAGCCTGTTCCTGGGGGTGGAGGGTGGGGCATGTGAGCTATGAACACCACCTTAGGGAACCCATGGGCACCAGTGGCACTGGGCCTCTCCGGGGGTCATTTTCTCCAAGGGTTCCTGTAGCAGGGCAGCACTATGTGGGCAACATAGCTAGCATCCCCAGCAGATGGGCAAAGGGTACCCCTCCTGCACCTCTGGGCTTTCTTCCTCCATTCTGGGAAGGCCCAAGGTTTACCCTGAGCAGCAAGGCAAAAATCCTTGTCTCTTTCTTTAAAATTTTCAAGCAGAAATTTAAACAAAGATGAGAGCAGCCAGGGCCCCAGCAGTCCCGTCCCACAAGCTGGGCTGTGCATGATGGAAGAGGCCTACTCTGCCAGCTGTGGTCTTCCTCTGCCTGCTGGGCTCCCAGCTGGGGAGTTCCAGAACCCAAGTGATTCTGCCCAGCTTAGACACAGTGACATCGTCCTCTCTCCAAACTGAGGGACATTCATTGAGGAGCGGGACCCCCCACCATAGTTGGCTCACCCCTTTTCCCTCTCTGCTTCTCTGGTGTGCTCTCCTTTGTCTACTTCTCCCTCTCTGTCTCTCTCTCCCACCTTCACCAGCCAGTCAGTAGCTCAGTTGGGAAGGAAAACTGCCCAGCCCAGCCCAGAAGGCTAGTAGGTCCTGAGCAGAGCAGCCCTGAGGAGCTGTGCCCCAGGGGACTCAGGGTGGGGCTCCCCTTTGTCTAGGGAGATGGGTGCAGAACACCTGTGGCTTCCCAGGGTGGGACCCAGGGACCCAGCAAACAGTCTGGGTGGACCTTCAGTATTCTGGCTGAATTGGAACCTAAATGAAAAGTAATCGATCTAGGAAACAATACTCTGGTCATGAATTTGGTTTGAATCGTTTCTTTCAAAATCAAGTCAAGGATACGGCTAATAAAATTGATGTATTAATAGCATGAACCACAAAATATATTTGTGTGAATACCCATGGCTGGACCACCCAGACTTCCTCAGACTTGTAGGAAATATCTGCAGTAGGGTTCGAGGAAGCAAATATAGTTCCCAGTATTTTTATTCATTACTGAGTAGGAAAAATCATGACAATGTTGCTTTTCATATATGTCTAAAAAAAGTGCTCTTTTTTCCATGAGACTTTGTTTTCTGAAAAGTGAGCTGCGGTTCTGAAAGATTTCTCTGTTACCTGTCTTCCTTCTGACCACAAGTAAGAGGAGTGATACATTTCCACCATGAACTTGACGGCTGTTAGCTTGGAATTAATCTTGCTGCATTTGAATAAGACTCTTGCTAGAGCTGCCACCTCTGGACCATCTTCAGCCCTGGGACTCGCTCCCACCACCCTTGGGATTTATTGGAATAATAAAATGTGTGCTTTATGAACCCCCAGCGCTAGATAACATGGTAATTTTACATAGCGATGGGACTGCGCATGTCCACACAGGTGAGCCATTGTCCTACCAGAGAACCCATCACAGTTGAGCTCTGGGGTTTCTTGATGGAGGTCGAAATCAAGTTTCTGAAGGTTCCGGTGTGCACTTCTACTTGCATTTAGTGAGTTTGCAAAGCTTGGGCAGAGGGCAGAAGCCTGTGTTTCTGTGACGGAATCATTCCTGAGCCCAGTGTGTCACCAGTGTTTACCGAGAGGTGGATTGGGTCTCCCAGACAGGACCTTCTATGCACAGAGCACTTCCTTCTGCAATGCTATTAGGAGCAGTGTTGTGCAGACACTGGCTCCACGACCACAAGCAGAGTGAAAGACTTTTGGCATCTTCACTTTATTCATCCTCTCTCAAAGAGGAAGATGTATGTGGCCCATTATTCTCAGGAGCCCCAAATTCCAGAGATCGGCTCCTGAGAGTTCTGTGACAAAGTTATGGCATGTCTGGATAGATTACAGGGGTCTTTGGCATTGCTTGGCTGAATGTTAGAAACACGTTATTGTAGGGGGGAAAAACTACTCTTGGACCATATGCTGTGGACTTTATTTTTAGCGATGCTTTATACCTCCTCACTATCCCTCCCACCTGGCTTTCAATCATAAAACAGCTTCCCCAGTGACACAGCAGCTGGTGGGGTGGGGCTGCTGAAACAGCATTTATTTTCAGTCCTAAAACCCAGGGCTTAGGAATGAAGAAGCTCTCAAATCTCATAACAAAATGCAATGTAGTCCTGGTGACACTCCTCCAGACAGTCTCTGGAAGTCAAGTCTGGAAGTCAAGCCGATCCACTGCCTAAATTACAGCTATGGCACCAGTAAGGCAGTCATACTTACATGGGGAGGATTCCCCTTTATGAAATCACATGGGCTAGCTGGGGATTTGGCTCAGTGGTTCCACCACCTGCCTCACAAGCACAAGGGCCTGAGTTCCATCCCTGGTGTCGAAAAAAGAAAGAAAGAAATCACATGGGCTGGGCATGGCGGTGCACACCTGCTAGTCCAGCACTCGGGAGCCTGAGTCAGGATAATCACAAGTTCAGTGTCAGCCTGGGCTACTTACACCTTTGAGAATCAAGATTTCCACCCTCAAAAAGAGATACAAATATAAAATGGAAGAAATTAGTGAAATATAATTCTAAAGTCATTGGCATTACCAGGATGTATTGTGCTGTGCCACTCTCCAGGAAGCGGCTGCCCTTCTGTGCCCCCAGAGTCTACTGCCCGGGCCCTGAGCTCCCGGATGAGCAAATATCCCCACCTGGGCTTGAGGGTGTATATTTTCCCTCAAACAAGATACTTCCTGGCCCTGACTCCTGAAAAGACCAAGCACTGTCGACCTGCCCCATGGCAAGGACGTGCGCTGTGACAGTGACTGCCTCGTGGCAATAACGAGCTCTGCCACTGTCAACCCTAGACAAAGTGGATGATCTAAGGTTTTGTGCCAAACCTGTGGTTGACAATCCTGGAACTCATTAAGCCACCAGCGCCCATTGTGGTCAGGTCAGATGGATCAGAAAAGACCTTGGCAGTGTGCCTACAGGCCAACGGGGCATGATGGGTAGCCCTAGCAGAGTACCTGCCACAGGTGCCAGTGCATCCAATATGGTATTCATGCATATATGATTCACAGGTGAATCAAATAAAGTCTTAATGGTCACTTTTGGCTGCTGCTAGGAAATTGACTCATCATTCTGAGAACTAGAAAATAAAAAGAACAAGACAAGCATGGAGCCAGCTTAGTTTTTTTAATCAAAACTGCTTCAAAATAGTATAGGAGCTGCCAAGAGAACATGGTCCCCAGAAGCTTTCAGATGGTGCTGTAAGTAGAGAGGTTGGGTCACAATGGCACCACTTTTTGAGCCCCTGGTCACAGGATGGCTTGGATGCTGCTGACCCCTGCTAACCACCATCCCAAGCACGCCTTCATCCCTGTTCCAGCCCCAGCCCCTGTGGAGGGATGGCAGGCCAAGTCTCCCAGCTCTGGCTGCAACTGGTGCTGGGATATGCAGGGCAAATCTGCCAGGTTCAGTGATTCATGAGTGTCTGTCCTATTTTGCCTTTCTCAGCTGGGCCTGCAAGAGCCCTTTCCTTTCTTCCTGAAAGCCTCAGAAACCATGATCTATGAGGTTCCTGGTCTGGCCATGATCACAGCCTGTGACCACTCTGACCTCAGGCACCATAATCTATGAGGTCCCCAGTCCAGCTGACATCTCAGACCATGCATTCCATCACATGGTCTCCTAGCAGCCTCCCCTGCTCAGTGTCTGTCCCCACACAAGAGCCAGTAGAAGCCCCGCCTGTCCACAGATAGCTACAAGGCTGACTTCCTTTCTGCCTTCAAGTCTGTCTGGGATATCTATTGTCACTTAACAAACCACCCTTCTAATTTACTGGTTAAAACAGCAACCATTTTATTTGTTCACAATTTTGTAGGCTGGCAATCTTGACTGTGCTCAGATGGCTGGTTTGGGGTTGGTTTTATGTTTTTGGTAGTCCTGCTTGGTGTCACCAAGTGTGTGTGGTTGTCTCCTGGTTCTGGGCTGCATGGTTGCATCATCCTGCAGTAGATAGGCTGCCAGTGAGGACACCTGCTGTGCTCTACCTGGCGGGCTTCATGGGGGGCTCAGGACTGCAACCACAGCCCATGCACTGTGCTACACTGGGCCAGTGTCAGCCACAGGGCCTCACCCAGATTGAAGAGTTTGGCAACTGAGGTGTGTGTGTGTGTGTGTGTGCGCATGTGTATGTACCCGCACATGTGCATGCTCATGGGCATGCTTATGTGCTGGCTCTGAGGTCCACTATCCCCAGATGAGGATGGCTGCCTTGGGCCCAGTCACAGTTCAGGGAGACACAGTCGTTAGGGTTTGTCAGTCTTTTCTGTGTCACTGGCCACTGCTGTGTTCTGACAAGGTCCATCTCCACCAGAGCGCATATTGAGGCTCTAAATCCCCAGGGTGACAGGAGGGATTTTAATCAGGTCATGCGGGTATCACATGGCAGAGGCTGCGGAGCACTGAGCCATGGAAGAGCCAGCCCTGCCACACCTGTCTCTCGTCCCTTCTCCCACCTGTGCTGCCCCACACAGCTGCTCATGCCCGTTCGATGTCACCTGCCTTGCTGTGGTGTGGCAGGAGCCCTGAGTACTGCCAGAACTCTGTGGTTTGAACCTTCCAGCCCCTGAATCACGGGCCAAATGAGGTTCTTTTCTTTACGCAGCAGCAGGAATTTTTTTTTATAGCAATGAAAAACAGACCAAGGCAGAGACTGTCCCCAGAGAGGACGTCTCCCACCTCCTGCCCTGGACACCAGCTTGAAGCCCCAGTCCTGGGGTTCTGAAAGGAAGGGGTCCTGGATGGTACTCACCACAAAGAATGTGGATTTGCGCATATTTGCCATTTCCCACACAGGCCCTCCCCTTTCCTCTGCCGTTGGGCACTCTCCTACCTGAACCCTCTGTGGCTCACATTCCTCAGTGGGCTTTCCAGCTCCTTCTTGAACCTCCTGGAAGGTGTAGGGGGACGTCTGAGGCTGCAGCCATCCCTGTCAGCTTTCCTGCTTGGAGGGCTGGCTGAGCGTTGGGGCAGCCCAGCTGTGGACTCGTTCCTGGAGTCTGGCTTCTGTCCTCCCTCCTCCTGGCTCAATCCCCTTCCCAGATGTCTCTGCTGTCCACTCCCCCTTCTCTCTGAGCCCCAGGTTTCTGCTTTTTAGTTGTTTCTTTTCAGTTTGACAGGGAAGGAGCAGAGATTGGAGCACACCATTGTTTTTCATTGGAATTATTTTTAAAAGCTAAAATACAAGTTAGAAGCCACAGGCTGGAAGGTCTGGGGTCCCCTTGCATTCCTTGGAGGGCTTCAGATGGGGAGATACAGAGCCAGGGTGCCGGAGACCCCTCTATCTCATAGTCCACGGGTAGCTGTACATTGCAGACCCCTGGGGAGGGGGATCCCAGAGGCCAGCAGAGCATGGGGAAACCAAGACTGACGAAGCAGGGACTCCCCTCATTACTGCTTTTCTGCCAAACATTGGCCTGCCCAGTTTGGGGTCCTCCCTGAGAGCCTGCTCTTGGCCCTGGGGATGGACCTCAGCACGCCAGAGCTCCCCGATTGCGAGGGATTTCCAGGCTCCCATCCAGTGTGCTCTGGGAGCGGCTGGGCTCACTGAAGCTTGGCTTTACATCACAAGTTAGGAAGACTAGATTTTGCCCTATTAGACCCAGGTCAGAAATGCAAGTCTCAACAGCCCCACAGAATCTTCACTGCCACTGCCACACAGGTGAATAGGGATTTGCTCAAGTGGCCGCTCTGAGCTGTCCCCGTCCTGGCCTCTGACCTCACTGTCTCTCATCTTCCCCAGCCATCCCCAGACCCTGCTCCTCCACCTTCTGCACTCTTTGCCCTTTCCAGAGAGGCTGTGGGGAGGTGAGGGACCCGGGCTGTCACCCACAGCCATGCACGGATGTCATGCTCTCTCCAAAACGCAACTCCGCTACACAAGCTCGGGAGGAAATTATATGCACTCAACAAATTATTCACACGGTGCCTTTAATTAATTGTCACTTGCTCTGAGTTTACAATGGCACTAACTGGGGTAGGAGCCACAGAAACAGATGCCCTTCTGGCAGGTGGAGGGTGAAGAAGCAGACAAGCAGGGAGAAGCATGGGGTGGTGGGAAAGACACCCACCAGGTGTGGGTACATCACCGGGTGTGGGTACATCACCCTGCACAGGAGAGGGGCATCAGGTGAAGAAAGGTGTAAAGGAGGACTCGTGTCCCTGCAGTGGAGAGGCCCCCCTGTCAGTGGTCAGTACCCTTTCAGTTGCAAATGATAGAAATACAACCCATTGCGGCTGAATGGAAGAAGTTGTCTTCATTAACTGGTTCCTTGGGAAGCTCCAGCTTGGGCTGGCCTCAGGCTTACCTGAGTCCAGGTGTTTCAGGGGTGTTACAGCCTTTTCCGGTCCATCCTCACCAGTTCTCCAGAGCAGCAACCCTTCCCCTCTTGCTCCAGCACAGAAGTCCAGCAGGGGGCCCTGGTGACAAGAGAGCCAGCTGGTGCCCCGGAGGATGGGTTCGGGGGCGTTCGGGCACCGTGGAGGACAGTTCCGGAGTTTGGGTTCCTTTGCAGGCTGTGGGAACCCAAGGCGGGTGCTGGGGAAGGACATGGATGCCAGGCGTGGTTTGGAGGGTGTGTGTGTGCACATGGCACTGGGAGGGGGAGGGCAGGGGTGCACACATGCGTACAGATGGGAAGGACAGCATCGTGCATGTGTGTGTGGGTGTGCGCGCTCGCACGGGGGAGCAGGCAGTTGGAGGGAGGAGCCCGAGACCTGACCCCTCCTCTTGTGCCGTGAGTGCCCCAGAGCTCCGCTCGTGTTACCGAGGTCACTTCGACCCACCGAACAGCAATGTTTTGCTTAGTTATATGAGTTGGGAACAGGCAGGCGTGCTACATAAACGCTGCTTTACCAACAGAGGGAAAGAGTTCACAGGTCTCCGGCACGGCAGCAGGCTGCGAAGAGGAGCAGGGAAGAACAAAGGGAGTCGGTCAGTCTCCGTCACTGCCAGGGGTGACCTGGTGTTGGTCCGTGCCCCGCCTGGGACCTCAGTTTCCCCTGGATGAATGGTCCCGCAGCTTCCCTCCATGGCCGATCCCTGACGGGGCGTGCGGGGTGGGCTTCCTGTCACATCCTGACAGCGGTGGGGCCGCCTCTGCCGGAGTGCCTGGGGCCTCCTGGGCACGTGCCTGACCGGGGAAGGACCCTGTCCCCGTGGCTGGCGTAAACTGCCCTGGGAGGTCACAGGAATTAATCGTCCCCAGTACTTAAGACTTACAAATTATGGTCTTTCTTCCCAGGACACTTCTGAGCTTTAGCAGACCTCTGTTAAACTGTATACATGTTTCACAGCGTTCTTTGGAAAACTTTGAATCCCTGAGTTGAAGATTCATCATGACAAGCCCTCAGCACATATCTGAATAAAGACACGGGTTTAACCTAACATGCTGGAAGCAATAAGCTTGGATCACATGTGCGTGTTAAACTCGGATTGTATCTAGAATGTAAAAACACATCAAAGACATCTGCCCCAGAACCCTTCTGGGAGATGGGAAATTTCTCATTACTCACGTCACGGAGTGACTGGTAGAGAGGCCTGAAGGAAGTGTGGGTATTTCCACGTGTAAAGTTTGTGGGTGGATCTGCATGTGTGCACACTTATGTGTACATGTGATTGTGTTCATTTACGTGCACATTTATGTGTGCATGTGTATATGTGTGCGTATGTGTGTTTATGCACATGTGTTTTGGTGTAAGCACCTAGGGTGATAGATTTTCTTCATTTTTCTTCATTTCACTTCACTTCTTTCTGGCACTAAGGGTGGGCCACAGGGCCTCCTGCATGCTAAGAACACTTTCTACCCCTGAGCTGCGCTTTCAAAACCCCTAGGCTATGCATTTTGTTATGGTTTTATTTCACTCCACTCGGGTTTTCTACTTTATTTCATTGTCTCGCCCAGGGAAGAGGAAGAAACAGCAGCTGTGAGCACCCAGCTTTCCTGTTGCACTGACAATCTGTGGGCACTGGTTTTGCTTCGTGCAGCCCTGGGGGACCATGCTTGCCTGCACTGGGCTTCCTCTCCAGTCCTCTTTCCTCTTCTGCCTGGGTGAGTCTCCCTCTTCCTCTTCCGAAAGCCCCTCTCACCTGCCCCTGGAGGCTCTCTCACCTCTGAGGATGAAGTGAAACACCCTTGTGTATTTCTTTGAGAGACATTCCCCTGGAGGAAACACCATATTCCAGAGACAATGGTCACCCTCATCTTGCTGGGACATGCAAGGCTGTTTCCCACATGACACATGTTCTGTCTCAGTCACTCCATATCCATGACCAGCCTGACCCAGTGACTTAGAGTGGCTTAGAGTACTCACCCCTGCCTGTGGACAAAAGACATCTCTAGAGGTTTGGAATAGGTAAGGAAGAAAATGTTTGCCCTGCTTTTCTTTTTAAAAAAGTATCTGTGGAAGGAATCTGGAATATTTTCTTCTAAGATGATTCCACAAGTAATATTTTGCCATATAATTAATAACAGCACAAGTATTGGGAATCTGCAAATAACTAGACTTTTTTCCTTTAGGGTCAGAATTAGGGAAAATGGTCACTTCCATGGAGAGGAAGGAAGAGGAAAAGAAGGCAAAAGAGAAGATGAGGGAGAAGGAGTTAATATCTAGCTAAAGAGAAGCAGCCTTGTGAGTATTTGCTGCAGACATAAAGGGGGAATTGACTCAGTTTCCACAAGGACTGGATCTGCCTCTCACTTCCTCAGTCTTGACTTGAGACCCTCAGCCAGCAAGTGTCAGTACACCCTGTACTGTGTCAGGCACACCAAGCCCTCTGACACACTACATGTAATGAGCCAGGTCTCATATAACTGGGGTTGTTTTTTGTTGTTGTGGGTTTGTTTGGGATTTTTTGGGTTTTGTTTTTGTTTTTTGTTTTTTTTTGGTACTGGGGATTTGAACCCAGGGCCTTCCCAATGAGCTACATCCTCCACTTTTTAAAAAAAAGTATTAGTTTCTATATTCAGGCAGAGTCTTACTAAGTCACTAAGTTGTCCAATCTGGGCTGAAGACTTACAATCCTCTTGCCTCAGCTTGTTAGAGCACTGGGCTCTACCACTGTCAAAGACAGTTACATGCAATACAATTCACCCATTTTAGGATTGTTTACGTTTCTGTCAAACGTGGAACCACTGCCACCATCAAATAATTCCCATTGATTCAGAAAGTTCTCTTAAGCCCCGTTACAGTTTTCACCTCTCCTCCCAGCCTGGCAATCACTGACCTCATCTCCGTCCCTATCTTGTCTTTTCCAAAATGTCACACAGGATGTTGCCTTTTATGCCCCTTGTCACATTTAGAGAGGGGTTCCTGAGACTCATATCTGTAGCTTGTTTCATTCTATTGCTCAGTATTCTAGCATTGGTCCCGGCTGTTTGGCATCTGTTCATTGGCTGATGAACATTTAGTGATTTGCAGATTGGGGTGTGTTAGGCCTGTATCTAGATGTCCCCACAAAGCCTCCTGCACTCATAGAAGGGGTCTTATGAAGGTTGCTGGATCTAGACTGTGTGATACTGGATTAAGGGTATGTGGTACTCAGTTAATCAACTGATTGGTTTAGCATAGTTCTGGGTATGAATATAGGTGGGTGAGGGTGGTGCCACCCAAAAGACTCATAGTTTGGATAAGATAAAAAGGAAAGGGAGGCTCACTTCACTGCTGGTTGCTTGTTGCTTTCTGACTACCCTGCCATGGACTGTTTCTCCTCTGCCATGATACTCAGTTGACGATGGACTTAAACCTCTATGAACTCTGAGCTAAAATAAATCTTTT